ACTTAAATACAAGTATATTTCTATAGTAGTTGTAAATGTGTCCAGTCGAATTTGAGTATTGTTGAGCTCGATTAAAAAATCTATTAGTTTAAAATTATCAAGTTCGACTCAAATTCGAAATAACAAATTGAATCTAGACTCGACTCGAAAGCTCGCGAGTTTGAAATTTCCAAACTCGTCTCGAAATCAAAAAATAAAGCTCAATTCGAGCTCAAATAACTTGAACTCAAATATTCTCAGACTTAGCTCAATTGAAACTCAAACTCGAGTTCGAACCCGAAATTTAAGTACAAGAAAGTCTTATATTATTTTTTTCTTTAAAAACCCAACATATAAATGTTATTATTATTAATAATTTAATTTAATTTAAAAAGTTAAAATTTTAATTTATTATTTTTTAAGTTGCTCACAAATTTTTCGAGTAAAATATCAAGTAGTTTATTTCGACTAGTTAAAAATTCAAATTAAATTTAAACTCGAATCAAATCTATTTAATTTAAAAACTAATTAAACTTTAATTAAATCAATCTTAAATATCTTTCAATTTATTTCATCTAGTTTACAGTCCTAATATCTATTCATTAATCTCACTGACTCATTAATTCCTTGAACATGCAGCAATGCATCCGAATGTAGGAAAGCAAAGCACCTTTATATAAATTAAATTAAAACAGATATTTTGATATTAACTTTTTATATAATTATTCATAATTAATTAATTAGTTAAATATTATAAAATTATTATAGAATAATATTTTGGATTTTATATTAGTATAATTATCAATATTATTTTGAGTAAATATAATTTGATATCTACTCGTACGTATTGTTAAATTAAGTAAGCTAATATAACTATGTACCTAAGAATGGAAGCAGAATTTTAAAGTTTATAAAATTATATTAAAATTTATCAAATATGAAATTCAATTTTAAATAAAAATATAAAAATTAGAATATATTAAGTTATTTTCTCCTTTGATGATATATTAAATTAAAAAATAATAAATATATCACTAGATCACAAATTTTATATAAAATTTTATTTTAATTTTAATTTTTTTTAAATATCAATTTAATCTAATAATATGGTCAAATACTCCATCATGAATCATCGCTTATCATAATTGTTGTCCACTACTGATCACCATCGTATATAGTGATTAGACTTAAAATTTTTAGTTTATCCTTTTTGACTTCCTAAACATAAATATAATATCTATTTTATCAAAAAATATCGCAAAATAAAATTATAATAATATCACGTATTAATAAATCCTTAAATGTTTTTATTATAAATTTATTTTCTGATAATAATTAAATAATTAATACCGAAATATTTACAAGACAGCATATAATAAATAACACATGCTTTAAATATAGTCTATTAATTTTAAAAATATTTATAATTTTTAAATTTGATATAATAGTTTACTTATAGATTAAAATTTAGATTGAATGAATTCTATTTAAATAATAAAATCAAGTAAATTAAATAAAATAGAGCAGAAATTAAAGTTACAAATTAATTTTGTTTCTTATTTTGGATTTCAATTGGAATCAGACATATCAACGGCGCTAAATATGGAAGTAAGGAATTGTGGGCCGGGAATTATAACCCGAGTATACTCACTTTCCACTTTTCCAACCAGCTGCTGAGTTGGCTTATCCGTGTTGAAAAACTACCATCCAGAGAATGGTGGGTCACCAAAACCAACTCGCTTTATCCCACTCCTATTCTTCCTTCCAAGCATTCATTTCAATTTCCTTCTCTTCTACTCATACACATTCTTTCTCAACGCCACCGTACAAGGCCGCCTCCGCCGCCGCGATAGCTAACAGTTAGATATGACCTCCCTCACTCCGTAAACGGCGATAGAAACAAACATGCATTCCCGTTTTACCCTTCCTTTCCATTTTTATTTCCCGAGTCCTTCTTCTCCTTTACTTTCCAGATTTCTCGTCGGCGCCAACCATACCTCTGCTCGTTTCTGCTCCCGTTAATCTCTCCTCCATTTTCAACAATTTTTTTCATTTTTGTTGACTAAAATCCACACTGCAACAGATACAACTCAAACGGCGAAAAACAGCTTTTTTTTTGTTTTTTCCTCTCTATAGTTACTGTTATCATGGAACCTGCTACAGGGAAGCCCAGCCTTTTCAGGAATATTCTGGCGCGAGCTCTTTTTTTCGGTGTTTTCATCCTGGTCGTCCGATTCGCTTACGTGGTTACAATAACAGGCGAGTCTTGCAATCGCGGCGACTTTTGCTTCTTCTCCATGCCACAGAGTCTCAACTTTGCCATCCCTGGTGCTGGAGTCTCCGCCATTGTCGGAAACGACGCCGTCTCACGGGCCGATCCACGCCGGGAACTCTACACCAGCAAGGAGTGGATCAGGGATGTCCATTTCTACTCTTCTGTTTTCCAAGATCTGATCTCTGACGGTTATCTCTCGCCTCACTCCAAGTCTCTCTGCGTGGAGACTCCCTTGGGACAAGAAGTTTTCGCCTTGAAAGATATAGGCGTGGAAGATTCCATCGGTATTTTCAAGAAAGCGGCCAAGCCTTTGGTGATTAAAGGTGAGGGGCATCAGATACCGTTCTATGAGAATACTTTTGATTTCATATTCACAGGTGGTGGCCGCCTTGATGTATCGGCGCGTCTGTCGGATTTCGCGTCGGAAATCACTCGGACACTGAAACCCGAAGGGTTTGCAGTGGTCCACATCAAGGCTAATGATACTTATAGCATGAATTCTTTACTTGATTTGTTCAGTTCTTGCAAATTAGTTAAAATGCTTGGTATGGAAGGTTTCGATTCATCAATGCCTTTCGTTAGAGAAATTGTATTGAGAAAAGAAACTGGAGTTGTTAACCATGAGGGCAAAAAGATTCCAGACGGTAGTTCTGGTAATAAGTGCTCGGTTCCAGCGCATAAACGAGAATTAGTCGAGAAGGCTGAGCCGCTTATTGAGGAGGAGCCCTTAAAGCCATGGATCACCTTGAAAAGAAATATCAACAATGTGAAGTATTTGCCATCAATGGTTGATATCAGTTTCAAGAGTAGATATGTGTATATTGATGTTGGTGCTCGGAGTTACGGTTCGAGCATTGGAAGCTGGTTCCGGAAACAATACCCCAAACAGAACAAAACCTTTCATGTATATGCTATTGAGGCTGATAAGCATTTTCATCAACAATACGATTCGAAGAAGAAGACGGTTACGTTGCTGCCTTATGCGGCATGGGTCAGGAACGAGACGCTTCGGTTCGAGATCAATCGTGATCCTGGCCAGGAAGAAGTGAGTGAACTCAAGGACAAAGGCAGAGGGATGGGCAGGATACAATCGGTGAAATCGAGTGGAGGTGAGGTGGATGAGATTCAAGGGTTTGATTTCGCTGAGTGGTTGAAGAACACTGTAACCAAAAGCGATTTTGTGGTGATGAAAATGGACGTCGAAGGAACCGAATTTGACTTGATTCCTCGGCTATTCGAAACAGGTGCAATCTGTTTGATAGACGAGATCTTCCTCGAGTGCCATTATAATAGGTGGCAAAGGTGTTGTCCCGGTGTGAGAAGTACCAAATACGAGAGGAATTACGGCCAATGCTTGCAAATGCTCACTTCGCTCCGAGATAGCGGAGTTCTCGTCCATCAATGGTGGTGAGTGGCAAGTGAAAGTAAGTCTTTTCCCTTGTTTCTGTAATGGTTTATATGTTATGTAAGCTGACATCCATAGGGTTTTTCTTTCATTTCTGGGTTATTGTTGTTGTCCTTGTCCATCAAAATTTACCCCATCTACTTGGTTGCATCATCGTTCTTGCTTGTATTCATAGTTTCACATTTAGGCCTACAAGGGCAAACTATATATATACAAATATCAATCCTGGACTTCATACATCTACTTCATATTTATGGGAATTTGGATTGGGGATTAGATGTTTATGGAAATTTGAATTGCCGATTTGGATATTTTATGATTTAATTTTTAGATTTCTGACATTTGGGCATCTATGTGCAGTCCTTGGGATGCATTAAAAGTTTTAATTACAGCCCCTTTGGTGTTGCCGTAGGTTGTGGTGGATCTACTTCAGATTGACAATTATTATATATAATTATTTTAACATCATCTAATTTACTTGGAGATATAATAATAATGATAATAATAAAGTTCAATTTATTTTTAAAATCTTTAATTCGATCCGTCATAATAGTATAGCTATTCTTTATATATTATGAATAATTATAATATATCTCTTTATATTTTCTTTTCAATTAGGTCTCTCTCTTTTTATCTTATATATATATACCTTTATGATTATATCTTTGTTCTTTTTCATATGAATATTTTTTTTATTATTAAGTTCAGTGGTTTATTTTCATTTATCTATTAAAAAGACGTTAAATTAAATTTTTTATATGGGTGTGAACAGATAATATCTTTCTCTTTCTCTTTATATATGTGTCGGGTTGGGTGCCATTTTTACCTAAAAAATTAGGTTGGGTTTTGAGTTGGATGAAACATCTCTTAATCGAAATTGGTTTGAATGATGGAGTAAAAAGATAGAATACTCGAATCGAGTTAAGATCGATAAAAATCAAATCCGATCCAATTCATACTTATCCCTAAATCTATCCATTTGAAAACTTATCAAGGTTATCTATTTTAAACTTATTCTCGAACTATGAAAATGAAAAGAAAGACATGAATGAACCATTTTCTACAACTGCCTAAGAAAATAAAATTAGCTGTTTCTTTATCCCAACATAATATATATTTAGTAAATTTAATGTATGTGATTATCCAAATTAATGTATATTAATTTGTAAACTTAGTTCTTCTATTAACATTACCAACAAAGCAAAACATCGGGGGCATTCGCCTCCACCCGTCTCTTTTGTTCCCCTCAAAATTGGGGTTGAAATCCCCGCTTCCATAGCCTTTTTTGAGGGTGCTGCAAATTGGTTTCTCGATTCTTTTTTATTTTTTCAAAAAAAAAAATTGGGGTTTTTTCTTAAGGGAAAAAAAGTAGATTTCCCTCGTACACACCCACGCGAATATGGGTGCCTGCTGCTCTACGGAATGCACATACAAAGGTAGACGGCATGGTAAACACGAGTCGGAGGAAAGAGACGAAGGGGATGGACATCACGATGATAATAATATCACCACCACCATCGGACATAATGGCGCCATTATCAGGTTGCAGGGCTCCTCTTCCCACACCTCTATGTACACCCGCAAGGGCAAGAAGGGTATCAATCAGGACGCCATGACCGTTTGGGAGGTCACTTTCATCATTCCCTTCTTTCTTCTTTTGTTTTGTTTTGATTTTACTTTTATCGACTTGATTCGAATATCATACGATTTTAATTTACAAATATTATTGGGTTTAAATTCTCATTTTAATATTAGAGTTGATAATTATCTCTTATCTGATCAATCAGAGACGAATCAGAATCACATAAACTTAATACTTTTTATTTCTTTGAATATACAAATAGTTCATGACTTTGTCTTTTATGATTAGTTTCTTATCATGCTATTGACAAGTCCACATGATCTATAATAGCTAAATATGATATATGACAGTCATATCATATAAATCGTGTTAACCTAAGAATAGTCATCATCACTCTCACATTAACACTAAAAGTCTATAAATAAATCGTCATTCATGACTAGAGTAAAGATTCGAAACCTAAACTCTCTCTCATTCATTTAATCTTAAATTATTCATCACGCTCGATAAAATTACCAATCACAATTTTCTATCCATATCCAAATTAAAACGAATTAACTGTCTACCACCATTATAACCAATATTTTTCATTCAACAAAAGGAATTCAATTTATCCATCATTTCTTCAAAATCAATCATGTCATGATCTTTTAGATATTTTCAGTATCAGCTTCTTTGATGGAAGGAGCTTAATTAATATATCAACTTGGAGTTTACCCCCAAATCATTTTCCTAGGCCAGCCTTGGTACACATGCATTTGTATCTCTTTGTCCCTGCTTCAAAATTGACGTTGATCTCCTTAAATGATCCAGAACTTCACGGGTGAGAAGAGCGTGTTCTTCTGCGGTGTATTTGACGGCCACGGTCCCTCGGGTCACAAGGTTGCACGCCACGTATGCGAGGCCTTGCCCTTGAAGCTTTCCACGGTGCATCGGCCTCAGCCTCAGCCTCGGCACGGTGCTAAAAAGGAAAGCGACAATGACAACGACGACTGTTACAAACAATGGGAGGCAGATTTCATGAGATCTTTCCAAGAACTGGACCAAGATCTTAGCATGGACGATTCCCTTGATAGTTACTGCAGTGGTACAACGGCTGTAACCCTTGTTAAGCAGGTATGATGTTAATGCCTTTACCATCTGCAATATTTATGTATGTATATATTGTAGTTGCAACTGTTGCCATGATCATGACAAATCTTTTCAGGACCATCACTTGATCATTGCGAACTTGGGGGATTCTCGAGCGATTCTCGGCACTAGGGACAACAGCAACCAACTCTTTCCGGTCCAACTCACAGTTGACTTGAAACCGAGCATACCAAGCGAAGCCGAGAGAATCCAAAACTACGGTGGCAGAGTGTTTGCTATGGAAGAAGAACCAAATGTACCTCGAGTATGGATGCAAGACCAAGATTGCCCTGGTCTAGCCATGTCCAGGGCTTTAGGGGATTTCTGCCTCAAGGATCATGGACTTATCTCAACCCCTCAGGTTTTTCATAGAAGGCTAACACCCAAAGATGAATTTGTAGTGATGGCAACTGATGGGGTAAGAAAGCAAATTATGATGGTCATATTCAAGGACATAATTAGGATCGAACATCGGGAGGGATTAAATTATTTTTACATCAAAAGAATAGTGATTGAATTCCAAATTTGAGTATAGTAGAGGGACCGATACAAGAATTCAAACCAATTTCAACACATACAGTACAATATGCACTGTTTTTATGTAATTTTGGTGCAGGTGTGGGATGTGCTTTCAAACAATGAGGTGGTACAAATAGTTGCCTCAGTAAAGAGACAGTCCATAGCAGCAAAGGTATTGGTTTATTACGCGGTTCAAGCATGGAGAACAAAGTATCCGGGCTCCAAAGTCGACGACTGTGCCGTGGTTTGCTTGTTCTTCAAGAAACGATCTCATTCGACATCAGCAACTTTGTCCGACATCAGCGTACAGACTGCAAGCCAGATAGACATTCCGGAACCTGACCCTAAAGGCAAGAAAACCGAGGAAGGCGAGACCGTGATTAATTCCGACATAGTCGTGGATCAGAAGATGCTTGAAGAAGTAAATAGAGCAAATGCTTATAAGCGGTCTCGGCTTGGCAGTTCGAGTAGGCACAAAACGTCCGGGGATTTTGGTGGAGGAACCCAAAGCTAGTGTGTGTAATATAGTAAAATCTCAAATATTATTCCATGGTTTCGTAAACTTGGCTCTCAAAGTTTAATTTAATTTTGATTGAGAAATTTGTTATTTTTTTTTAATAACAAATATTTATCAATTTTTTATATATCCAATATTTCACATTATTATCTTTATCACCATAAAACTTGTGCACTGGTATCAAAGGCTAATTGAATATTAATTCAATTAGAAAAATATTTTTTTTTATATTTTGATATAATCATTCAATAAAACTATTACATACAATAGATAACAATAAATAAACAATTACACAATAAAAGTAATACATATAGATTTATATAAGAAATTGTTTTAAAGAAAATAACATATAAAAAAGAAAAGTTCATTATAGTATCAAAATTACCACATATTTTTAACTTTAATTTATATTATCTAATTATAGAACTAATTATTTTTATTACAGAGAAATTTTATATTACAAACAAATCTCCGTAATACAATTTTTATTTTCAACAAAAAAATAATAGAAAAAAAATATAATTTTACACAGGCGATCTAAGAACTTCCACATCCACCATAAATCTCAATTATATTTTTCACTAAACAAGTCAAATCACAAACTTTTTGAATTAAAATCAAATCAGATTCAGAACATAAACTCTAACAATAAAATAATTAAAGAATTAGATACGGAACCTTTATTTTACATATAAAACATTTTTTATTTCGTATAAGCTAGTGGTTTGTCTTTGTCTATTGCCAACAACAAAGCTCAATCAAGTAATAATTAATGGGTCTGATGTGGTCCAACTTTCTTCATATTAATGATTTATGGTCATGGCAGGATTATTTTTCATCGAATTTATCATTTCCAACATAGTCCATTAAAAAATGGGACCAATCTCTAGATGTACTAATGCATTTACATTTGTTAAAATCCAGATAAATAAATAAATCATACAAATAATTTAAAATGGTTAAAAAAATCGATATTGTTCCTAAAATTCATGAGTTCAATTACCAACAACTACAAGAGTAATTGAACGTTCATTATCAAATGGTTAAAAGTACTTAGAACATATACTACTTTGTAATCAATTTTAACTTGATAATGAAAAAAAAGGCTTTTTAGCTGATTCAACCCATTTTTCATCCGTTTATTGTTTCAGTTCTTGATTTTTTACCGGTTCACAGCAGTTCATTGTATACCCAGTTTTATACCACTGGTTTCATCGGCTGGTATGATCCGGTCCGATTCATATCTAACATCACTGATTAAATGTCATACAGAAACTAAAACTTGTAACAAACGAAGGCAAACAAAGAAAGAGGTGCTATGCAAATACAACCGTTGATAGACCCACATGCATGTGACCCTTGCCTGAATCATTAGTTCACAGTTTGCATGAACCTAGGTGATCCAGGCAAGGGCCATTCGGACAAGATTCTTTTTATATATATGACTACCCGAAAGCAGAGAAGCTTGTTACCGTCTTACCGATTGTACTCAGGGCCGGTTTTGGGCCTGTACGGACTGCCCAACCGCACAAGACCCAATTTTTGTAAGGACCTCCAAATTTTTTTAAGTCTTTTGTATATATCTGTATTTAGGATGTTTGGCTCCAGAATTTTTAAGTCCAAGGCCCACATTATTACATGAATATATTTTTTACCACTTTAAAGTTTTATTATAGTTATAATAAATTTTAAAATATTAGTGAACTTCTTTATATATCTAATATTTTAGTCTTAAAATGCCTATTTTACTGTTATGGCATAGGGCTACCAAAATTTACAAGACGGCCTGATTGTACTCTAAATAAACACAACGTGCAGAGCTCTTACATAGAAAAATCTCTCTCTGGGCAGAGATATGTTAGTTCAGGTTTTGGACCCCCTCGACATTCTCACTAAAGCATTCTATACCTAAAGAAACACACAATGTAAACGAAATGGCTTTTGGGGTTAGATAGAAGGGAGCCACAAATGTGAATTCCCTAACCTCATTGTTGCTTCGGTTTCCACTACGGGTTAGGTTCGAATCAAAAAATACAAACTGAGTTGACTCTACACTCATACTTATCCTCAACCACATCCTACTTTCAGTCGAAATATTGTGCAAAGTGATTGAGAGTGGTATAGAAGCAGGGAGTAGAGAGTAGAGACCACTGCATGATAATTTATGTAACAAAACAGAACTTCATAGCATAAAATAATATTATGAAAAACTGGGAAAAGTTTCTTATCATGTCAATAGAAATAAAACCTATAGCCTCAGGACTGAAAAATATATATTTAGAAAAGTATAAGGACTGTAAATGATTGAATTATGATGAGCGGCTAAATCCACCGAAAACACATAGTACAAAGACCACCTACAAAATTTGACTAACTATTTATAAATTTATTTCTTTATCAACCTCGTGCCCTATATTCAAACAAATTGTCCTCAAGAAGTTTTAATTTTTATCTTAAATTATTAAACCTAGATATAATTGGCTTATTAAATAATTGCATAAATTTTTATAGAATTTACTAGAATATTCAGTACAAGTTACTTTTTAATTAACTTAAACCATGATACATTTGAGATAATTGAATATGAATCGTTCATTAAAGTTAATAAATTTAAATGTTTGATCAATTAACTGTGGAAACTGATGAAAACAGGTTTGTTTTCTCAGTGTTCTTCATTCAATTAATGTTTACAGAGTTAATCTTTTAAAAGACTACAGCCTAGAGTTTTATCCTAGGACTCCTAACAACTGTACAAAATATTTGAAATTTAAATTAGTGATAAGGTTAATCTAATGCAAACTAAGAGTAATAACAAATAACAAACCCAAACTGCCTGAGTATATCTACAGCTTACATTAACTACCGACTTACACTATGTTTTACAGTAACACACTAGCACTATAAATTAATTATTTAGTTATGAAATATAAATTTTATTTCAAATGATAATATTGATGTATTATATCACCAAAGGAACACGCGCATAAAATAAATTAGTAGTAATAAAATGCATCAAGGAGAAAAATAATTAATTCCATTACTTACCTAATACCCTTCAATGCTTCATTAGTGCAGCCTAACGGTACCAACGACCACAGGTCCCAGCTGAAAGATAAGGTTTACATCTTTTCTTAATTCTGAATGCTCCCCCAGCTCGTATTCTACCTGAGAAGCTGAATTTCCTAAACCCAACTGTTTTTTATGGTGATAGTCAGAGGTCGCTCCACTATTTTTCCAGAAGGGTATACTGACAGGACTATCAACTGTGGAACAAAGATTAATTGGGGCATCACCTTCTACTGTCAGCAAGGTCTCTTCTATTTTGAAGTCAGCAAGAGAAATTGCAGAGGATCTACTGCACTTGTATAAATAAGCCAAAAGCATCTCTTGGTTCATGATATCGCTTAAAGCATAAGAGATTCTCCCAAGCCAAGTAACTGCATAAGAAAATATTCTAGGTGGAATAACACCAACATCCTTTCCATGTGAAAGTGGAGCTGAGATTGCCAGCACAAGAAATGCTGCTACCCTCTTACTATCAAAGCCCAATTTGCCTCCAAAAGTTGGTTCCAACTGGTGTAAGAAAAATAAGGTAAAGAGATTGAATGATCAAGTCATTTCACAAATAGTCACAACATAAGACAGAAATATAGTGATTGTCCACATTGCTTCAATGCTTTCTTGACTTCACTTCTTTAATCAGGTTGAATATACTTTGTTTCTTAATTTGTTATCCTGTAAAAGTTCTGTTTGTTAGGTGTCTGAAATAATTTAAAAATTGTTTAATTCTGCACAAGTATTGGGAGTCTGGGAAAATCCATGGTAACATAAATTTCTTTGTCTATAGAACAAATGATGCATCATTTAGAAGACATTTGCAGTCTCATTATTATAAATTTGAAAAAGGGGAAACTTGGTCATGATATTGTAATGATACTATTCTTTTCATGGTTGAGCAGATACTATCATCAAACTAGAAGCAATACATAAAATAGCGTTATAACCCAGCTAACCTCTGGAGAAACCTCCTCGATAATGTGAACTGTGAACTTCCCGTGGTTTCTCCCAATATGAAATAGAACAGAGAAGACATCTACTTCATCCTGGAAGCAGGAAAAAAGCAATAACAGATGGTTATAGATGTTGGGCTGATATTAACGCACAAATTGAAAATATAGAGGGGGCAGCCCAAAAAGCCACTTGGAGAAGCAAACGGATAAAAGGGAACAACCTCTGGATATGTCTCCAAATTTCCAAGAAGGCCATCAATACAAAATTTAAACAACTCGAACTGCGGCAACTTCGCTAATTTGAGTATTTTCCTTGTCAAGGATCTTATGACAGAACTGCTGTCAACAAGGTTGCTCAGAAACTGCCAAAAATGATACTTAAGCGACAGTGTCCTTTTTTTAAAACAGGCAATACTGGGATCGAACCAAAAATGAATTCTATTGTTAGGTATCAAAACTTAACAAATAAGCCGCACTCATAGGCAAATCTTCCAGTCATGGCTTTAACAAGAGAAAGGGACAGGGAGATAAACATCAGAAGGGAAAAGAAAAGTTCTTAATGATAATTCCAAATTCCAAAAGTAACTAGCTCGTTAAATTAATGTCTTAACGGGACCATCATAAGAGGTGAGGTTTGTGGAGACATCAAACGAAAATATTCCAACATCTATCTGCACCTTGTCCTATGTACTTGCTCATCGATCAATTTTTACACTACATAAAAGTTTAGATATTCTACGCATATATCACTCTTTAGGGAGAAATGAACAGAAAAGAAGAAGCACCCTTACCCTGAGCATGTGTATTTTTTCAACTTTTAGATGGTTGCAGGTTGCCATATGAAGTATTGTATCCAGAGCTTGCAGCCTGACAATTACCGAATCATCATTCAGCATGTCCATCATCAGTTTTAAGGCTTCACATGCAAATTGCAAAGAGAAGCTAGTGAGCGCACGCAAAGAGAAACAGGCAGACATTCGTACCTTCAGAGTAAGCAAAGCCAGCATCAAAAATAAAAGTCATGTCAAAGGGGAATTGTTGTTGAAATGCAAGAAATGACTTAACTTTAGATAAAGTTAAAAAAGAGTGGTCTATCAATGACCGCCATCACTCTGTTCTATACAGGATGTGTCTACTGTCTACTATGCCAAGACGAGAGTCCTACCCACTTTAATAATATACCCTAAAGAACCGATCACATTCAATATTACCATGGTACATAAAACAGGAAGAACAATGCCAAGCCGAAACCTCAAAATCTCAGAGTGCCAGCAAAGTACTTAGAATAGGAGTACCGGATTGAGTTGATTCAAAAAGGCCAAAAGTTAAAAGTACCAGTCTCTATGAGACAAAGCAATTGTATAAGTAAGAAAACCCAACGGATAACTACAGAATCAGCAAATTTTACCTCAGAGAACTCATCCTCAAGGCCGTGTATAAAAGCTCCAGCAACAGCAGAAGCTGAAATGTCAAGCCCTTCAATTGGTTTGTATATTTTATCTTTGTTGATCCCTAGGACTTTCTTACACAAGGTTTGTAGCAAGATATCTCCAGATACAAGTCCTATCTTCCCCAGAGCATCAAAGGCTTCAAGCCTTACCTCTATACTCATATCTCTTACCAAACAACCAAGCTGCAAGCATATGTAAATCAAAAAAACAAATAAGAAGAAAAACGCTTCAAATATCATACAAGGCTGACCTGAATTCAACTAACATGCTAAAAAATGCACCATGCAAAAAAATTCATTTAATCCACATTAATTCCAAAATTTAAATTTTCTTTAAAATAAACAAGGCGACTAGAAATACACAGTAAATATAAGGGGGCGGGGGTCCCCAAAAGTACCTGGATAAACACTGCATCCGAAAAGTCTTGCTTGCTCCCGTCTTGACTGGATATAACAAGCAATTTACCCCATTCACATACCTAAATCCAGAAAACGAGAGAAAAATGAAAATCAGAAAATCTGCAAATTCAAATGTGATTAACAATTACATGGAAAACTAATCTAAAAATGAAACTTCGAGGACAGAGTATTTTACGGCATGAAATGCTGCAGATCTAACGTAATTCTCAGTGTCGCGGAGCAACTCAACAGCATCCCTCAATAACATCACGATCATCAAAATCACCATTCTTACACAGTTTCACCAATCCATCCAAAGCTTCTTTCCTCACATATGGAAACGGATCCCTCGTAAAACCTAAAAAAAGGGCTAACAACACCGATTCCCTAACCACAAGCTTCTCAGCATTCCTCAATAAAAACAGTCGCACAGAAACCGAAGGGCCGAGGCAGAGGAAGACGAAGCGGGCAGGGTCGATATCGTTTCCGGTGGAAGTGAGTGAAAGAAGTGCGGAGAGTGACTCGCCAACAAGGCGAGGCGAAGTGGAGGAGAAGAGTGAGTCGGAACGGAACAAGTCGAGTGCGACGGGGGATAGGTGGGGGCGGCGAGTGACGAGTCGGTGAGTAGCTTAAGAGTGTGGTGGAGGATGACGGAGTCGCGGCTGAGTTGGAGAGAGCGAGTTAGGGCGTCGAGGACAGAGGAGAGAGTGGAATCGGAGGTGGTAGGGTTGATAATAAGGGTTCTTAGTGAAGCCAGAGCTTGGCAAGAGAGCGGTTGGTTATTGTCAAGGGATTGTTGAACTGAGTTCATAACATGCATCTCCATCGCCGAGTGTCTGCAACTATGTCAATGGATTTTGGGTTTTGAATTCGGTAAAAATTCAAATTTGCCAGGAATTTTCATTTTAGTGCATAATTTGTTTTGCTTCGCTATCTGCGCCAAGCCGCAAATGGGCAATGGTTATTGTGCTCGGTGCTCTTCTATGAATCCCGCCAAGACCTAGCAATTTTTGTAGGTATGTTTAGCATTTAAATTATTAATTTTATTTTGTTTTGATATTTATATTTTATTATTTTTAAAATTATTTTGACGGTTAATTTTTATTTCATTTTAGTACACATTTAAAAACTTAATAGCGATGTTAATGTATTACCATAAGGTAATTGTTATCATTGAAAAAATAAAAAATGTCATGTCAGTTGTTCTGTTAATTTTTTAACGTTGTGGTATCAAAATAAAATCTAAACTAAACATTAGGTCTGATTTTAAAACAAAATAAAGTTTAAATATCAAAATGAAATAAAAATATTATTTTAGGTACTAAGCCTATAGTTTATCATTTTTTTACTTTAACTTATTCAAAAATAAATGTTCAAAGGTACTTAAAGAAATTTTCTTTTAAAGTATATGTTTAATATTTTCGATATCACATTTTTAAGTACCTACATCTTAATGATCGTTAAAAGATTGTTATCTGACATGTGTGTTGTTTATATTTTAAAAATTCATATTTTAAAAATATTATTTAATAAACTATTTCTAAATAAAAAAAATCTCCTTCCCCCTTTGTCTTATTTCCCTCGATCATCCCCTTGGTCCAAAATTCTACCCTCTTGTCATCCCTTTCCCTCTCAGCATTTGTGATTGTTGGGATTAAATCATAATTAAATCCCTTACCTATTAAATTTAAGGTTAAGGATTGTTGGGATGGTCGCTTAGTGAGTGGGCGACAACAGAAGCAATGAATGGAGATGATCGACGACCACCAAAAATAAGGATTGAAATTAGGGATTTAAGTTTTTGTTTTTATAATTTTAAATAAGTTTGGGTCATTCCTAAAAAAATATTTTTTCATTTTTAAATAAAAATTAAAAATATATATATAGTAATAACACGTGTTAGATAACAATATTTTTTAATGGCTATTACGTTATAATCACTTGAAAATATAACGTTAGAAATGTTAGAAATATATTTTGAGCGAAAAATTCTTTAGGCACATAAAATTAATTTTAAATATAGTTTGAGCACTTATTTTTTATTAAGCCTTTCCCTTTTGCATTATTTTATTTAAGGTCAAAATTTTACTTTTGGTCCCTCAAAATTTCACATAATGTAATATGATATTATTATAATCTTTGACCGAAATAGTTAAATATTTTAATTAAAATGTTCACGTGAATTTTAGCTGATAATTATTATTTTAACATGAACTTCTTTTTGTTTTGGAAGGGGTTCTTTTAACTAATATATATATATATATACACACACACAACGACATTTTAATCATAAATATTAACTATTTAGACCGAGTCTCTAGAAAAAAAAATAATTAATTAATAAAATTATAAAAACAAAGGATTAAATTATGTCAGAATAAAAATATATGGACTAAATCATAAAATTTGAGAAATTCAAACCAAATTTTAACCTTTTCTTTTAAAAAAATATTAAGAGGTAAAGAAAAAAATAAAATCATATCATTAGTCTTTGCGTAAATTTTAGATTTGATTTATATATTTGTATATGCTCAAATTTAACCCATGTGTTTTTTAATCCTAGAATTTCAGTCTTAATCTAAGATGATCCAATTGACAATATGATTAAATTATAATGACTAAAAATGTTCGAATTAAAGAACAAACAACTAAATCCATAATTTATGCATTGTACAAGAATTATTAGTAAAATTTAACTTAAAATATTTAATGATTATTGTGTGATTCAGGAGTAAATTTTGGAATTTGAAAAAACAGGGACTACAAATATCAAATTAAAAAAGGATTAACTCATAACTTATACATAGTACAGGGCCTAATAGTATAGTTTGACCAACTAAAACACTCGGAACTAAGCCCATGTAAAATAAAAATGGGCTACCCTTGAGATGCCTGTTAATTATGATAGAGCTTTCGAGAGCGATGGCCCACAGGTCCAACTGGGTAGTTGAAGGGGTATTTTGGTAACTAGATAACTGTGTATATATCAGCGGTAGTGGCAGCAGAGTTATGGTCACACACACACACTTGAGAGATTCTGAGAAAGAGAAGATGCCTTGCCTCAACATCTCAACCAACGTCAAGTTGGACGGTGTCGACACCTCCTCCATCCTCTCCGAAGCCACCTCTACGGCTGCCAATCTCATCGGAAAATCAGAGGCTGTATGCTTCTCTTTTCCCCTCTCTTTATTAACTTCTTTTTCATTTCCAATTTTATCTATTTCTCGAAATTTAGTTGAATATTTAGTTTCTGCTTTCATGTTGTTTGTTTATACGGGAAATTATGCGTTTTGTTTCGGTGCTTTATTCTCCTTGTTGGGTGTTTAAGAGGTATCGTATATTGTAAAGGATAATTACCCATTTATGCCTGGGCGGGGCTATAATTGAATTATAATTTTTTAGATAGTCATGATACATTTGTATCGTTATAATTTTTAGGGACCATATTGATTATTTTAATCAGATTAGAGAGCCTAAATGAAATTTACCTTTGTATTAGATTATAATAATGAAACTTTTAAAGGGGGCAAAGTAAAGTTTTTCCATTTAGAAGGCCAGGATCAGCCTCTGCTGTTATACTTTTAAAGAGGGCCAGGATCCGCCTCTAGCATCATGGCAAAGGTTACTTAAGAATCTGATCAAATTTAGGCTGAATACTGCTTTATGCCCGGAGAGTTTTGCATGTCCTAAATGGCTAATAGCCTAATACGTAATACCATAATAGTTACCGGTTTCATGTCTATTTTACTTGTATCCATTGTAAATCTTCGGGGATGTGGTAAATGCTTTAACTGTTCTGCTTGTACAAGACTTCTGAATGGCTTTGTCAGACCTTCGCATTGAGAGAAATGTGCTTTTGTTTAGAGATTTGCTGCCTCGTAAACAAAAACTGGGCCGGTTCAGCCATGGACTTGATGCTTGTTTGGTTTGTTCCTATATAAAGAACAGGAAATGTTTTGAACTGGCTGTAAACCTGTTTAATCAGTAAGAAACCAGAGAAAAATCCTTTCCAAATTCTATATAATTTTTTTTAAGTTATAATAGACTATACCACTAAGCCAACTGAATATCAGTCCGGTTTCTTAACTTCGTTTTATCTCCAACTAACATGCTAGACGGACTGTATACTTTTTACTGTTGCATGTTTATCCATGGCATGTAAATATGGTGTTGTTTGTATGCAGTATGTGATGATTGTGTTGAAGGGTTCAGTGCCAATGTCATTTGGTGGTAGTGAGCAGCCGGCTGCCTATGGTGAGCTGGTATCCATTGGTGGCCTAAATCCAGATGTTAACAAGAAACTGAGTGCTGCAATTGCTGCAATTCTTGAAACCAAGCTAAAAGTGCCCCCGTCACGGTTCTTCCTCAAATTCTATGACACCAAGGCAAGCTATCTATTTTTACTTAATTGTCAAGGAGATGGGTTATTGTCATCTATTTGTCTCTTCTTATTGCATTTCCTTGTTTGTTTAGGCGCAACGAACCCAAGAATATGCACAGTGTTTGCATATTTTACACCAGCACTAGATAATCTAAATAGATCTTTTCTGTTTCATACTATGAGCATAGCTCTCGATAGCTTTCCTGTGAGTGCAACTTATGCCGTTTCTTGGCCCGTGATAATATTTAGCACCCGTTTGTGGCCCTTGCTTCTCTATAGCCCTGATACTTTGATTGTTTTGCAGGGTTCCAACTTTGGATGGAATGGATCAACCTTCTGAGTCTGGCGATGTCTGAATTTCTTAAAACATCAATATTGTCTTTTCAGTTTGCTTTATTTCTATTGTGACTTTCCGATGACAAAATTCAGCATGACACTTTATGGCATTATGTTGTTTATCTATGTGTTTTCTTAGGATAATGATATGCAGACATTGATTGCACTAATGTGGAACAAGCCTATTAAGTTATGGCAAATGGTTCAGTATTCGGAATGGAAACTACTTTAATTTGCCAACCGATCATCTGTTAGTTTAATTTGTTCGAGTTTTTAGATAATGTTTAACCATGAACTACGTAGTGCATTGTTTGTAGCGGAATATCAACCCATGCAGCACAAGGTACATGGGTAAACATTATCCCCAAAAGTTATCAATTGGAGTTTTGAGATAGTGTTTAACGACAGTGCAGCACATACCAAGAGTTTTTTTCAGTGGGACCCTTTTCAGTGGGTTGGTAACTTTTTACTTAACTTGCGCTATATGCAACTCATCAAAGATGTGGTCAAATTCAAGCCCATTGATAAAGGTCCCACTCCTAGTTTTGCAGGCCATTGCAGGTTGAGGTTATTCTTTATTTAAAAACACAAGAAACTTGAAATACAAGAAATGGAATATATATATTACATTAATCTTGAACCCCCATATAATTTCAACAGTCAAACCCCATTTCTATACGTTGGAGTAGGGGCAACGCTGCTGCAGACAGGCACATGTTGGAGTAGGGGCAACGCTGCAGCAGCTGGCTTGGCCTGTCTGGTTGTTTATTAAGCCTAGAAAAAAGATTTCAGCAAAGGCACATGCCAAACCTTGAATCTCATTGAACGCCTGAATAAAACTGACCTGACTAAACCAAGGGCTTTCCCTGGTTTTCATATGAGAGACGTGGTTTGATGATGTAGTCGGGATTCGATCTCCAGTGATGGGTATGGGTTAACCGGCAACGGGCACGGGGAATGGAGAGTTCTGTAACGAGGATTAGTCATTCCTCGTCACCGTTGGAAATATAACGGTATTACTGTAAAATGAAATGTTAGTTATGATTGAAAATAAAGTAGCGAAGGTGAAATAAAAATTGATTGTATCGCGTAAGAATCATTATCAAGTATATTCGTCTTGATTGGTGATGTTCTCTTCTAAAATTAACACTATCCTACTTTAAACACTCAAGACCTGAAGTGAAAATCGGTGGTACTACTCTTATCAGAAAGAAAAAAGTACAGAAGTTCTGTAAAAACAAGGGGATAAGAGAAAACTCGGAACAGAAAACAGATGAATTTGAAGAAGCTTGGAAAGAACAAACCAGTTATTGCTAGAGTACTACGAACGCTTCCGTGCAATGCAAGGATCAAGTCCTGCAACCGTAACAACCCCATTTTACATATTTTTCATTTCCCATCTGCCCCTACGTGTTGTCAACATCGATTCTGTGCTTGTTTCTGAAGAGTTTGAAGCGAAGAGTAGCAAGGGAAAAGCCAAGGATTTAACAAGAGCAGAGGGGAAAAGTGCAGCAATACGTACCTACATGGGGTTTTCTTCATTTGACGAAGCAAAAAGCAAGAAGAACCGATGAAACTCAGGATGGATAGCGCTAAGGAGGATCAAAACACATACACGAAAGGGTTGAAGATCACCTATGGCGCTATCCCTCCTGAGCTTAACTGATTCTTCTATACTGATATATCTTCTACTTTGACAACTCTCCTGAGAAAGGCTGAACAAACCAAGTAGATATAAAAGAAAAAGGAAAAGGCAGGTTAATGCTTCTGCTCTGATAATGTAGGTGAGGGAATTAATAGAAATGCAGTCTGTATTTATAATAGCAGCAGCCGCAAGCACGTGGGGGAAATGCAGTTGCAGACAACGTTAAGTTGAATGCAACGTGGATTGCTCTGATACGACCAGGGATGGATCGAGTGGAGCGGATGGGATAGTGTACCCTAAAAACTTTAAATTACTATATGTTTTAGATTTTTTTCTATAATTTTTTTATTAAAAATTTGTTTTCGCTATTCCAATAATTTTATAAGTTCGTTTACTCCTAAGTTTCCCCCACATAAAACTATGCGTCAATCTCTGAAATTCAAACTTAAATTGTTATTTATATAATATTATATATATTTCAGTATCCAATTTAGTTTTAAGGGATAATTTGATATCTACAGTTTTTCTTATTCAAATTGATATTTAATTTCTTTTTATCTAATTACGTATTTAAATTTGATTTCTAAGTTCACATTGATATATAAAACTTAGATTCATAGTTTAAATTAGTTTAAATAAATCATTTAATATTAATTTAGATAAAACTTAAGTATACACTTGAACTAATAAAGTCCTATATAGGTATCTAATTGGAAAAAAAACCATTAAATTGAAGATAAAAATGCTTAAGCATCAAATTGCACAATGAAGCTAAATTTGAATACAAACTACCTTTTATTTAAAGGCTTAAAGTGAAAAAAAAAACTTAAATGCCATTATTTGTTCTCCAAATACTTAAATTATTATTCTTTTTTGGAGTTTATATGTATAATTTTTGTATTCATATAAAAACACAATTCTAAATAAATAAAATTTCAAATCATTAGTGTTATTAGATTGAATAAATGATGTATTTTTACTACAATTTCAGGGTTTGAGCATTATAAATGTCAAATGGTTGATATTTATTTTTGAACTTACCCCATATTATAAAAAATGAAAGAAAGAAAAGAAAACATGACAAAAGTTGGGGTGTCTATTTGACAATTTCGAAGAGTTGAAGGGAGGGATTTGATAATGTTGATTTTGTTTGTCTGGTGTGTTAATGGGGCTGCCGACTACGGAACTGGTGGAGATTATGCATGTATGTAGATCTTCCTGCTGGCCTCACAAACGGACCATATCTTTGCCATATATGATTTGTTTATATATATTTATCTTATTCTGCAAGCTTTTTGAAAGGCTAATTACCAAATAATTCTCTCTTACTTTCATGATTACTTCTCCTTTTTCTGGTTAATGATTTGTTTTCCCTACATTTTTTTGCTAATGATTATGATCACGCACACTACAGTTATGATGATTTGGGTCTTGCCCTGGATGGACCGACAGAATATTGCGATGGTCGTATTTGTTGAAAGATCTAAAATTTTATATATTTAAAATTATGATATTTTCAAATGAATGGTGCAATTTTTAAAAAATATATATTCAGTGATGTTTAGAAAGTAAAATTATTATATTACTTAAACCCTTTTAGTATTTTAATCCTAGTTTTTATTTTTATTTTTGTAATCGACAGTAACATTAGTCATAATATTTGGTCATCGATCATTGATATTCATTATTTTTTTATTATGTCATATCATTATATTTTTATTGTTTTTAATTTTTACGAACGTTGCCTTTATGACTTGTTTTCCTCTCATTTATGACATATTTTTGTTCGTTTGATCGTTATTTTCGTTTATCATTTTTTCTTAGAGTTAGATTTGACATCGTAATGACTGATTAAGATGACACTCATTTGCTATCATGTTGATATTTCCTGCTTTGGACCTTTGGATATGCGATTTGCATTCGTAGATAGTCTTTTCACGTCACTCGATTCTGATTTGCAGTTTGTCGATAGTCTTTCTATAACTTAATTCTCTTTTATTGTTTGTTTGTCGATGTAGTCAAATCTATTTATATTACCTTTTATTCAAGTTTATTTGGTTAGATTTTTAACCTTTTTCTTATATGATCTTTGTGATCTTAGTGGTTAGTTTCTTGTGTTAATGATTACATGATAATATTCTTATTACTCCATATGTTGTAGTTTACGTTTGTGATTGTAAACTTTCACTATAATTTATATATTTTCTAATTTTAATAAAACTAACGGCTCCATCTTTTCAATATATATATATATATATATATGTTATATTTTAAAAACAAATTTTAAAATTGAATTTGAAAAAAAATATGTTTAAAATATGGATTGAGTTTGAATTTAAACATTTAAGGAATCTGGATTAGTTTACTCTATTTTCTTTGTTTTGTAAAAATAAAGTTAATTTTATTAAGAAATGAAAAATCCTAAATTATAACGAAATTTTTAATTATAAATGTAAATAAATATATAATTAAAATATTTTTCTATAACTATTTTTTATAAGCATTGATATCTGATTTATTAATCGACTAAGCCGAATAAGGTATTGCAGAGGCGAGGGCGACCCTCCCAACCCAGTTTACTCCATACACAAACGTTAGGATTTAAATCCCAAACCTTACTTAAAGAATCTAGTGTCTCATCCCACTAGATCCACTGGTTGTTGGTATATTTCCCTATAACTATTGATATAAAAAACTAACAACTTGATATCATATAAATATCATACAAGGAAAAAAAGTTAAAACTTTTATTTAAAATCTAGAACAAAAGATAGATACGTATAAATCTGATTATATCGGAAATAAATTATAGTATGAGATTAAACTACTGAAATATCACTGATAATTGCACATCAGAGACAAACGTCATGAGAAAACTATTTACGAACATAAATCGCGTATCTAACTCAAATTCAAAGGTCTAAAACTGAGAATATCAATATGATAACAAATAAGCGTTATTATTTATCAGTCAAGATGATGTCAAATCCAACCATAAGAAAAATAAATAAAAAGAATGGTAAAATAATCGATAAAGAATACCAAAAATATGTTAAAAACCATAAAAACGTGTCATAAAGATATAATTATTAAAAAGAAAAAATATGTGATCTAAAAAAATAAAGGAAAAATAAAAAAATACTAATGATCGGCGATTATCATTAAAACTGATAGCATCGTCTTCCAAATAAGATGAAAAAAGAAATAACAAGGAAAGATGTGAAAAATAAAACCTAATTTAACTTAATTTAATAAAAAGAAACATATATAAAATTATTAAATATTAATTAATAATAATATAAATATAATATGAACAAGCTAAAAATGATTTTGGAATAATCATTTATAAATATAAACAAATTTATTAAGTTTAAATTTTATATATTAAAATAATTGTTTTGAATAATTTAAGATAATTAAAAAATAATATATATCAAAATATTTATTAATCATTAATAATAAATATCTATATACTAAAATCCTAGACTTTTAAATAACACAACATCCCTTTTAACTTTAAAAATCACTTTGTGAGTTTAAAATTAAAATAAATATAAATTGTATTCAAATAATTACTCGGCCCAACAAACCCCAAATTTATACCCTCCAAATCCCATCCGTCGTATCATCTCCTTCCGTAACATTTTAAGTTTCCCGCCTTATCAAAATACCAAAAATTTTCAATTTCTTGTGATAATGAAGCATAGCATGAGTAACATCCAGCACAAGCCCTAAGCAAAATCGTCAGAATGTCCACGTGGCAGATTTTCTCTCATGCCAGATCAAACTATCGTTGGGAGGCTTCCGGTCCGGTCTGGTCCTGCCGTCCAAACCCGATGATGACCCGAACGGAGCTCCGGTTGCTCCACTCCCTTCCATGGCCGATCTCCTGCTTGAAGGTAATAGTATCTGAATCATTTCGCGTCTATATTTTTATTTTTGTGCTCTCAAATTTCATATATCCAACGCAGGGTGTTCGAAGCTTATTGAGAAAGATGGTGCAGGAGTAGATAAATACAAAATGTTTAGATTCGGATTGGGAAAATCCGTGGCGTTGAAAGAATCTTCAATTGTAAAAGCATTATCTATCCTCACCGAAGACGAAGCTGCCTCAGGTTACTCCAAGTAAACGCTGCTCTCTTTTACTTCCACTTTTTTTTGGTTTAATAACTATTCTGCAATTTAGAAAAGAAACATACGTGATTTGGGTTTTTCTTTTATATCTCAAAATTTGGAGCTGAAATAGAACCATGGAATATGTAGGAATTGAATTTATGTCCGGAATGGTGTCTCTGGTTTTAGAAATCAAAGAGCATAGGTTACGAAGACCATTTAGTATATTCACTAAGATGATCCTGAAGTTGTTGAACCAAGCTCTTTTTTTGTTTTAAAGAAAAAAATTTACCTGCTACATAGGTAATGTGATTCCAGCGAAAAATGGCTGCGACAACTCTCTTTTTCAAACGGGCTCTGGGAAAAGGGTTAACATATCTTCAGCTGGTCTGCTCAAAGCTAAGACATTGTTCGGGCTGGAGCCTGATAACAAACATGATAAGGAGCATCAAAATTTTGATGGTTTTCAACGTCCAAAGAGGTTATCTGCAACTAATGAACCTTATGCCTACCAAAGGTTTTCTCATTCAGAGAAGAAAGAAGATTTGCAAAATTATGGGGTTATGGATGTTACATCAGAATCAAGGAACTTATTAAACTCAAGGAATGGTGTAGTAGGAGGTGAACAAGGCTGTGAAAATGACTCAACTCCAGTGCATTCCAAAATGTTTGATTCCGTTCCCAAGCCACCTCCAATCAAGTTTCACACCGTAGGTGGAAGGTCGTTATCGGTTTCAAGAGACGCATTAAAGCGTGCAAGGAGTCTTCTAGGTGACCCAGAGGTAGGGGATTTATTTGGTGAAATGGATCAAGAGGTTACTCCATTTACAGTTCAGAAGGAGGAAAATTTTAATGATACTTCATAAAACAAGGAAAACTGTTTTTTTACTTCCTTTTCCCATCAAGGAGCAATGAATAGTAAAGTTATATCCAAGGATTTCACATCTCTACTGAAAGAGAAAATCGCCTCAGTGACAAAAAATGCCTTATAATATACGATTTTAACCAACT